ATGCTGATCCAGCTGTTTTGGGGCGGGTCTGGCCATGCTTAAGACCATAAATGATTTCAAATTTTAATATTAGATTTATTTGCTGCATTTATATCCTGGTACCAGGAGGTTAGGCTGGCCCACATCATCTTTTTCTCCAGTTTTATCCTCATCAAGGTGGATGGAGTTGAGATGTAGGGACTGGTCCAAACCAGTATGGATTTGAATTTTGGTCTTCCCAATCCTTGTTTGGCATTAAAACCACTAAATACACTATATCCACCTGTTGAATTTGTAGAGTGGCCTCTTTTGCTTTATGTCTTTCTTCTTTATAGGAAGTTACTTTGCAAGGGATGCTGCATATTCTGATAACTACAGTGGAGTCAATTCTTCTATCAAGACCATGTTTCTCGCCAAAGTATTGGTGGGAGATTTTACAAACGGCTGTTCTTCCTACCTCCGCCCGCCCGCCAAAAATAACCAGAGCAATCTTTTCTATAACAGCTGCGTGAACAGTCTCCTGAATCCATCCATTTTTGTCATTTTTGAGAAGCACCAGATTTACCCAGAATACCTGATTGAATACAAAAATTAAATTTGGAGGTAGACCGTGCATTCCTGTTTAATGCACTGCTAAATGAGCTACTTTCTGGATGACCATTGAAGGCCTTAGTCATGTTAGCAGTATCAGCGTTTTGTTGATTGATTTTTAAACAAGTTTTTAATAGATTAAAAAAATATCCTCTTTTTTCTCCTCCCTGTGCAATTGGGCATCCTAAATGTAAAAAGCAGACTTAATTTTTAATGTTAAGTGCTTTTTTTAGAAGAGATGTTATTTCTTTCTCAAGGAGGAATAATTTTGCTTTGATTATACTTGTTCTGATAGCTGTATATCATGTAAAATCCAGGATCATTCTTTTGTATTCGATGAGGAAATTTAATCAGTTGAATCTGAAATTACTCATTGACTAGGTTTTCATAGGGGAGCCACACCCATAATCCTTAGCCTTAAATAATATCATCACCATCATCACCATCCCCTTTGCATTAACTGCAGCAGGGGACTGTAGTGATTTGAAAAGGTGCTTTGGGACAGCATGTACACACACACACACTATATGTACATAAGGCAGTGCATTATCTACATGTGCCTTATTCCCATAGATATGGTGTCCTCACACTTGTTCTGAAACAATTTTACAATCTTAAATCACAAGTGCTGCCCACATGAAGAAACACTGATTTTAATAATCTCTAATGTTCTATTTGAAATTGTTCTACTGTTTTTACAGTAAATTTTAATATTTTAGTATTAAACCATTAAATGGCTGTTTTGTCTTTCTAAGGGCATGAGGGTAGAGACAAACCTTCAGTTCGTAGTACCCTGTCTGTACATCTTAAAGCTCCATATGAATCATATAACTCTTGACTTCTATTTAAGTTCTAGAAGTAAATACTTTTTAATGTCTTTTGTAGTATGTCTTTTTTAAAACTTTCGAAATATTCTCTCAGCATGGAATTACAGCCCTAATCAGCTGTAAAACATCAAGTTGAGGAATGCTATTATAGCATTTTTCTCTGATTTCCTTTGCTAACTCTTGTGCTTCCTCTTTGATAAAGTGATATATCATTGTATATAATGATACAAAAAAAATTCTCCTTACATTTCCAGTCACTAGAGACCAACTTCTTAAAATTTTAGATTTTGAATATATGTTGGTAATGTTGCTTAAGAATTTGCCATCTGTTTAAATAAACTTTAGCAAAAGAAGTCTTGTTTGGTTGTATTAGATAATATCATTTTGTTGCATCTCAATGGATATATAGTTGGCTGTGGTGACTTCATCAGGTGCTACTGAAACTTCTGGATACAGCCCTTTAGTGAGAAATATGATGAATGTAGTTGAATGGGTCCTTTACTGAATTACAGATATGTAATGAAATTCTTGGAGCAAACCATATCTAGATACAGCTGTAAAGCTCTTTCTGGTTTTTGTGCTTCAGATAAATATCTGATTTTACCTTAAGGAATCATTCTTCCCAACATATCTGCTTTCTCTAAGTATAAATTATAGGTTGATGCTATAAAGTTTACATGTATTTAATTTTGCTTTATTGTTTACTAAAATCTCAAGATAAATGCCTTATAACAAATAATATAAAGAAATCACTGTCTATGGTTTAAAAGCCACCAAGGGGTTTTAAAAAAAGTTTTAATGGTTATGTAAGTTGGAAGTTTCAGCACTGTACCAAATCAAGACGGGCTCATTTCAAAAGTGAAGTCTCGGAATCTTACTAGCTGTGGAAAATTTGCAGATAAATAAGAGCATTATGAGGTAACAACACTAGTACCCTGGTTTACTTTGTACAGAATGCAGATAGCTGATCTATAGTACTATTTGTTTATAAGGATGAATAAAGGTAAATCGTCTGTACTGTAATAAAGGGAATTTGCAAGTGATTTTAGAATTCTTTATTGTCTACACGTAAAATAAATACAGATAATTCTCAACTTATAACCATTTGTTTAGTGATGGTTCAAAGTTACAATAGCATTGAAAAAAGTGACTTATGATCAGTGCTCACACTTAACAATCATCACGGTATCCCCAAAGTCATGTGATCAAAATGCAGACGCTTGACAACCAGGATGTATTTCCAACAATTACAGCATCTCGAGGTTGTGTGATTCCCGTTTGCCACCTTCCCAGCTGGCTTTCAACAAGCAGTCAATGGGGGGGGGGGAGCCAGAGTTGTTTAATTACTATGTTATTTACTTTACAACTGCAGTGGTTCACTTAACTATGGCAAAAAAGGTCGTAAAATAGATCACAACTCACTTAACAATTCCTTGCTTAGCAATAGAAATCCTGTTCCAAATGTGGTTGAAAGTTGAGGACTACCTGTATATGCATAAACTATATATATAATGTCTAACATTTTAATAATCAAGAACAGTTTCTATAAAAAACATTCTTTAAAATATTGATAAAAGCAGTTTTCTTCAAGTTCTGCTTTAAAAGCTAACAATTTTCAACTGAAAGAAAATATGAATTGCTTGAAAAAAAATTAGAATATGTTATATAAATAACAACAGTGCATTTTTATTTTATTTCCAGTTCTCACAATTACTATGAATTACCATTAACCAAGCAAGCCAGAGGATGAAAAGGGTTATAAGCTATCATGTGGATAGGGAACCAGATTGGAGAAGATTGCCTTGTTTGGTTTCTGGTGGGAAGAAAGGACAAAATACTAGATTCCAGACTGTCAGTTACATCTTGAGTTGCACAATTGTCTAGGTAAATCTGCCCATGATCTTGGACAGGGGAGGAACAACTCTTAAGAGAAAATAGAGGCTAAGCTGAGGACTGATCAGTTATAACAACCTGGGGAAAAAACTTACGTTTTTAATAACAGCTGAAGCAGTTTATTTTGTGAGCATCCTATTGTCATTATTAGTAAATTTCCCCTCCACACATCAAAAAAATTAAACATGCTTTCAAAGTCTAGATGCATATCAGGCACTAACAGTTAAGTCTTCGAGCACAGAGGTTAACTGTCTTTGGAATTTAGCATTCTAAGTTGACTTCTAAGGCTAGAAGGCAGACTCTATAGAGATTTCAAATAGTAGAAGAGACGGCTGAACAAGGTGTTCTGGGGTAAGAGCTTTGTTGCCTTTAATAGGTTTTACCATGTTACAAATAGATTTTCAGCATGAGGGAAGCCAAAGCATCTCCTGAAAAAGAAATGGGAAGATGCAACTATCTTAACGAGAAACAATCTTGATGAAGACGCCATCCCTTGGTCCTAGTGTGCCATGAGATTTGACCTGCAAAGGGATCTGGGAAGAGGGTGAAGAAACAAAATGCAAAGCAAGTTAGGAAGCATCAAGTAATATAGGAAAGGGAATTTTCTACTCTGTACTTCCCAAGTTTCATGTTTGTGGGAGTTGGAAGAGGGCTACAATAAGCAAACATGAAACTAGAATTACAGGGATCCCAGTTCAAACTGATTGGTAGGGAAAATAAAGAAGGGAGACTATACATGGTGCCCAGAGCTCCTGGATAAATGAGATATAAATCTAACAATATACCTGAAATGCCTAGCAGGTACCTCAGGATGTTTTTCAGTCAGATCAACCATCATAGAGAGTCTGGCTGGCAACCATCCTTGCAGTGTGCTACAGTGTTTGTTTTAGGAATATTTGGGGGCAATGTTGCATGAAAGGTCTACCTTATTTTTCAAAAGAACTTTTGATCCACCAAGAGAGCCTGAGATACAGTATACCCTTCAGAGCAATCTCCATAATATATTGTATATCTAGCTCAGTCTAGAGCAGTGTTTCTCAACCTTGACAATTTTAAGGCATGTGGACTTCAACTGTGGAATTCTGGGAATTAAAGTCCACATGCCTTAAAATTGTCAAGGTTGAGAAACACTGAGTAAAGGAAGAGTGGCCCAATTGAGATTCTTGAGCTTAATTCCATATCCTGTTCTTGGAGTTAAAAACAACCAAATCATACCAGTGGATTTTTAAAAACTTACGATTTTATGGAGTAAATATATATGAATTTTTCAAAATGAAGGATGGGTTGCCCACTACTGGTCTGGAGACCTTGTTGGAAAACCAGGAGATGCTACTTGAAGCTTTTTTTTTTTTTTTTTGCTTTGCGTTCATTTTAAACAAAGTATTTTTTTAAAAAATCAAGCAAGAAGCCTTGGTGGTCCCATATCTTGAAAGCCATGTTGGAGATACAGGGGAAATAGCTATAAGTCTATTTGTACTAAAGAGAAACGAAAAACAATTCCTCCCCTCACGGTCTAGTTATTTGCTTTTTGTTACTATCTTTCGCAAGAAGTAAAACAGGCACAAACCTGGGTCTCGGGGCAGGTTTTGAACGTGAACCTTTGCAAAATTCTTAACAGTGCAATTTTTATCGTCATCAAGCCCAACTTCATGCCAATGCAGCCACGAGGACCTGCCCCAAAGGGCAGATAAGCAAAAGGCTGCTGCTGCTGCTGCATAGCCTCAGGTGTAAATCTGTGGGCAAAGTTAAAATATTGGTTGAGAAATTGAGAATTTTCATTTTAAAAAACTGGGTAGGCAGTGTTTGTATGGCTTGTTTGATAATTAAGACACAGCAGTTCCATTTCTGTAGAAGTAGTCCATGACTTACAATCATTCATTTGGTGACATTCGAAATTATAATGGTACTTGTAGGTGACTTGCAACTGACCCTTGCACTTATAACAGGGGTCTTCAAACTTGGCCACTTTAAGACTTGTGGACTTCAACTCCCAGAATTCCCCAGCCAGCATGGCTGGCTGGGGAATTCTGGGAGTTGAAGTCCACAAGTCTTAAAGTGGCCAAGTTTGAGGACCCCTGACTTATAACCATTGCATCACCTGCATGGTCACATGATCAAACTTTGGGAACTTGGCAACCGGCATGTGTTTATGATGGTTGCAGCATTTCAGGGTCTTGTGATCACCATTTGTGATCTTTCCAGAGGCTTCCCACAAGCAAAGTCAATAGGTGGGGAGCCAGATTCATTTAACAACCAAGTGATTCGTTTAATTGCAGTGGTTCACTTAAGAGCAAAAAAAGGTCATAAAACTGGGTGTGATTCCCTTAACAACTGCCTTGCTTAGCATCAGAAATCCTGCTCCCAATTGTGGTGGGACCAGTCAAGGAATACCTATATTGTGTTCTGTGGGAGGGTACATATTTTGCATTATGCATAATTGTGCCTCCCAGTGCTTTGTTGTTGTTATTTGTACAATAAATAATGTGATTTGACAGATTTAACATTGTGATTTGAACAAAGAACTATAAGCCCATGTACCTCTCAGGAATAAACTTTTCAGGATCTGGCCAGAACTTTGGATTATAATGGAGATGTCCAACAGCAATTTCCATGATAGTGCCAGCTGGGACTTGCTGCTGCAGCACTAAGCAGTCTTTTGCTGCTTCCCGGGTAAACCTACAAGAGCAAAGATTACATATTCCATAAATAAAGCAAAAACATGGCAATGAAGCACTTGAAGAAGCCTTCATTGTAAGCCCTTTCAGACCTCAGCTGCTGTGTCTAAGTAGGAAAAGTATTATAATCAATGCAAAGAAAATTGTTTGGGTGAAGAATAGAATAGAGCTGGAAGGGACTTTGGAGGTCTTCTAGTCCAGCCCCCTGCTCAAGCAGGAGGACCTATACCATCTCAGACAAGTGACTGTCTAATCTCTTCTTAAAAATCTCCAGTGATGGAGCATCCACGATTTCTGGAGGCAAGCCGTTCCACTGGTTAATTGTCCTCACTGTCAAGAAGTTTCTCCTTAACCAGGTTGCTTCTCTCTTTGATCAGTTTCCAACCATTGTTTCTTGTCCTGCCCTTAGGTGCTTTGGTGAATAACATGACCCCCTCTTTTTGGTGGCAGCCCCTCAAATACTGGAATACTGCTATCATGTCTCCCCTATTTCTTCTTTTCTTTAGACCAGCCAAAGCCAAGTCCTGCAGCCGTTCTTCGTATGTTTTAGTCTCCAGGCCTTTGATCATCTTAGTTGCTCTTCTCTGAATTTTTTCCAAACTCTCAACATTTTTTTTGTGACATGGTGACCAAGGTTGGCTGTAGTATTCCAGGTGAAGTCTTACTAGACAGGAAGATGGGAGCTGATGAAACTGAATAGTTTGCTAGTCCTTAAAAGCTACTCCTAGGCTTCTACTTTATTTTTAGGAACAACTGAAAAACCTTTTTTTACTTGAACTGAGACAGTCCCACGTGACAACTTCTGTCTTGAAATGGAAAATTTATTTATCTATCTATCTGGTTATATGCCGCCCAGTTCTGAAGGCTCTAGGCAGAAGAAATAGAAGAGAAAGAGGGAGGGAGGGAGGAAAGAAAGGAAAAGAAAGGAAAGGAAAAGAAAGAAAGAAAGAAAAAGAAAAGAGAAGAAAGAAAAAAAGAAAGACTCAATCAAAATTCCACTGGATTTCCTGGAATTTCCCCACCAGCTGATGGTTGTAAATATTTTCCAGGGAAAATTATGCTACAGAGAACATACAGTAACTCACCTATATATTTGCATCATAACTCAGCCTGAGAAAAGGAAATCTGAAATATTTCCTTCTCTTCTATGCCAACTCCATTTTTGGTCCTTCCATTCAAAGTCATATTTGATTATGATGGTTCCAATATATTATTCTTTACTGCCAAGTTAAAATGTTTTCTAATATTTGTTTCTTTTATTGCTACTTTTAATTACCCAGAGCAATTTTCTGACATTTATTTCTTAATATTTTGCAATTTGAAACTGCATTGTTTTAAAGTAAAAAAGTAAACAGTTTGAAATTTCTGATGGAAAAAGAAAAGATATGGTTGAAAACAAAACAAGATGTCATCTGTTTTAAAAGTACTGGATTCAGCTTGATTTCTAATGTTAGAAAGACTATTGAGACTATGCTAACAGATGACTTTATATTGGCATAAGATACAAATACCTACTCAACGTGTTATTGTCTTGTGGGGTAAGAAATATTATGCAAAGCAAAAAAGTAGAAAGCCTTAAGCAAGGAAAAGTACAAGATAAGCACATAGAAATCTAATTCATTGCAATTTATGCAAATACATTTATCATAGCTCTCCATACTTTTCATGCATACCATACATGATTTCATCAAATCCATATATATAGATTCATACATTTCCTTTCATTCTGTAAAGGTCTCACATTCTCTTTCTGAAAAAAGCCTGATTCATATTAATTTACTCTCCATATAACCAAATCGAATCCTGGATCTCATTTGTGGATTCAATCTGCAATAATTCAAACTATTCTTCACCCCACCACTTCTTGCCTGCCACAGCATTCGGTTTATTTTTAGCAGTTCCTCCCTCCATATTCAGCTCTAACAACATGGACAGAAGCGTATTCTTAAGCATGAACATGTTTGTTTCTTTTGACAATCATTCCTGACAAGAGACCACATACAATCAATCTGCTACCTTTCTGCCAGCATTTGCACACTTTAAAATGTATCTATCCATTTTCCCATCTATCAAAGTGGGATAATATATTTTCAATTTTAATGTTTTGTTGAAGAATATTTGTTAGCAAATATTGAAAAAAAAATCAATTGTATAACCTTGACCAGTAATCTTCATGTAGCAGTTGAACAACTACAGATAGTCAGTGCTTACCATCAGTAATTGAGATTAGCAATTCTTGACACCAAGCACTGCAATAATAAAATATGATGTCACATGTCCATGTTGACTTAGGACAGCAGTTGCAGCAGTTCCAGTTGCCATCGTTAAGCTAATTCTCCATGGTTGTTGGGAACAATGTCATGTGATTTGCAACCTCCTGCTGGCTTCCCCACTGACTTTGCTTGTTGGAAGTCACTGGTGAACGTTGCAAATGGCAATCGTGTGACTGCAGGAAGCTGCAATATCATAACTCAGGGGTCTTTAACACCCAGTCCACAAACTGTTGGAAACTAGGCCATGCAAGCGGTGGGCGAGCGTGCAAAGCTTCATTTGTGCATGCATGGGATCTAGATTATATCCTCAAAACCACCACCACCCCCATCACCGACAGAAAGGTTGGGAACCACTGTCATAAGTGCAAGCCAGTCACTAAGTACCCAAATTGCAACCTAAGTACCCAAATGTTGTAATAGCTATAACTATCAGGAACCATCATAAGTATCCCTTGTTCAGCTTCCGGTATGATGTCGTAGCTATAACAGATGTAGCAAGGCAGAGCTCTGCTTTCCGTGCCCAATTTTGCCTTACTGGGAGCCCTAAAAGGGCCTAAAGTTGCCCCAAAGAGCCGATGAAGAAGGAAGGGTGCCTCGATCACGGAGAGATGGCGGTCTTTCCATTTGATCCAAGGAAAGCCCTCCAAACTGGCAGGGGAAAGACTGGCTGCATCTCTGTGGCCAGCCTCCAGCTACTGACAGCCGAAGAAACAAAGCACTAACTAGCAGATCGTAAACAATGTGTTTGGAACTGAGTGAGAATATTGATCCTTTTTTATTATTTTTTAACTGAATTTCCTGGAAAAGGCTCCCAAGAAGCTAAAAACTTCCGTGAGAAGGAAAGAGACTGTAGCCCCATCCTTCCAGAGAAACGGAAGCAGCATTTTAATTTGTTTATGGGGGACAGAAATACATAATACTGAAGTGGAAAAATATAGAACTACAGCTTTGACAAATTTGACAACTGAAATAAGTGTTAAGATTTTCTTTTTGTCAAAATCAATCTTCTGTTTTGATAGTGGAAAATGGATATAGAATGACATCTAGTGGTGGTTTAAAGAATAGCACTACAATTGAAAGGACTGATGCTGACCTGGTAAGAAGCTTCAAAACAGATAATAACCTAGCTTCTTGGCTGCTCGGTGACTCCTAACTTAACAGAGAACAACTGGCAACAGAGCAAAATATTTTGGCATACTTATCACCCTGAACCTTCTGGACTATGAATACCTACTGAGTTCTGACTTTTAATCTTAAGAACTATTTGGAGAGAAAGAAAAATTTGACTTTTGGCTGTTAGGCTGGGAGAGAGCTTTGGATTGATTTTAGGGTGGTTGAATATTTTATTTATTTATTTATTTATTTATTTATTAAATTTATATACCACCCTATCTCCCTTACAGGACTCAGGGCGGTGAACAGGCGATACTAAAAACCACAATAATAAATAAATAGTTTCTGTGCTAAAATCAAATTAAATAACAGGCCTGTTCTAAAAACACCCCATACAAAACCCCCACTAAAACATAATCAAACTACGCCAGGCCGGCCGCACGGAATAGATGGGCCTTCAGGGCTCGGCAAAAAACCGAACACTTTGAATACTGTGGATTGCAACTTGGTCTGACTGACACTTTTTGGACGCCAGAGCAGAAGAACTATTACAAAACATTGCTTTTAATGCTGGACTCATATCTTGGAACCTATTGGATTATAAAGGCTATATATAAAGACCAGAAAAACTAGATGAAACTTTGTTCTATTGCCATCAAGATTGGTAATATTAGATAAGACTTGTATTTGGAGATCACGAAAATTCTGACAGACTATCTGGATGGGGGGAAATGGAGGCCTTATACCCAGCCAAAAGTGGGAAAGCATACTCAATACCTCCATTTGAAGCCCCCAGCCAGGTTTATCAAGGATCTGCAGGAGTGATGCCTCAAGAAAAAACAAACACTTTTCAGAAGGAGATATATTCTATGCTACAATTAATTCACCAGACAATTGCTTCACATAAAGAAGACACAAAAAGAAACTATGATGAGATTAAAAACAATTTAGTTAACATAAATGAGCAAATTTCTAATTTAAACCTACAGCTAGAAAGTTCCAAGACAAGGACTACAAAGTATGAACAAACAACCCAGAAAATAGAAGATGAATCAGAGGAAATTGATCCAAAGACGGAAGACATAAAAGAAGGGAAATACAAACTGCCACAGACAAATAAAATCCTGCAAGACCTAATGAAAATGGAAACTTTACCCCCTAGATCTACAAAATACACTTGAGGACAAGAAAGAAGATTTTAAAAAATGGACTATAGAGCTGTTAGGGGAAATGCCAGAAATTTGGGGACAAAAAATGAAAAGAGAAGTTGAGGGAGAAGGAAAGTGGGAGTTGCTTAGGAATATAAATGGGCGGAATTCCCCCTCAAAAATACCTTACATAAATTGTCTTTCTCACTCCAAGCAACTTTCACAAAAATAGAGGAAAAATTCTTTGATTATTTAATTGCCTGGAAGGCTATTTGGCAAAGGAAGAAAGCTAGAGTTAGACTTAAAAAACAGAAGATTTGTCTTATCAGAGGGGACATTATATGATTAAGCATTTGTTTGAATATGATTAAAAGATTGGATAACCCTTAGATATAATTAGACTTTTATAATAAGGATGATATAATTTATAAGTAGAATAGCACCTTTTTTGATATGGGAAATATGAGGATGGCTTATATAAATAAAACTCTTAGCTATATAAATGTAACTAATCTTGAGAAAATTATAACTGATAAAGATATCTGTATCAAGTGCCAGGGAAATCAGGAGATGGGGAGTTCAAATGAGTATAAAGATTTATTGCAAGATTTAAGCTCTCTGCAAGAGCCTGAACTAATGGTCAAGGGAAATTAACAGGAGTTAAGAATAGAAAGGAATTCAAGATGGGTTGGACTCAGAACTCTTGTGGGCATGCAGGGACTCAAGACTGATGATGCATTTGACTCCTCCCTTGGTCATCTTCTAGAATAACCTTGTAATGGAGTTTCATTGGAGCTTATGGAGTTTCATTGTTAGAATTCTGTGCAATGTGAGTTTTGAATGGTACATTGGTTTTGGGAATCTCTGTTCAAATGCCTTCTCAATTTCTATTTGCTTGCTCAGCACCTCTTAGATCTATGCTCATCATAAAATGAGCCAGTTTCCCTGAACATTTTTCATCCAGCTGTTAATTAAATTTCTGCCGTGAGCCTCCTTCTTATAATGGGGAAGTGAATTTTCTTTTTACTGCTGTTTGTGATTTGAATTCAGCTAACCAGCAAATGAAGTTGACTTTTTTTTACAATGCTTGCCATTTTTCAAACAGATTTGAACAAAAAATTAAAATTAAAAACATATTATTCCTAATTCACAAATTTAAGTGTAAAAGACATTTGATTCATTAAACTTTCCAATGATTTTTTTTATTTTAAGTATGCAACATTTATACTTCTGAAAGTATATTATTAAAGCTTAAAACTGCACTAAGAATTTTGGAATATCCTGTACTGTACCAGAGCTCTTTCAAGACCCAGAAAAAGCCTGACTCCTTATAGATTGAGACCAGACTCACATTCATTGCCTGGAGTGGTGTGAATCGCCTACATAAGAAAGAAAAGACGCTTCAAAAATCACAATGTCTCCTATCTTACTAACCTGAATGCTGGAGGATACATGCGTAGAATCTCTGCTATCACCATATCAAGATATGGAAGGTCCTGTATATTTTCATAATCTGGAATGTCCTGTGGGAATGGGAAGAAAAAAATGGTTATTATTTTAACAGAATATTTATATTATACCTGTCTCTTACCATCACAATGGCCACCAGAAACACAACATGAAAGCATGAAGTACCAGCAAAACAGTAGACCCTAACCCTAAATGAACAAAAAATGCCAATAGCAAAAAACAAGAAAGATGAACAAGCAAATTATATTCCTTGATGAAAGATTGCGCCTTGGCATTATAGTATTTTTTTTATCCAGGAACTGTAAGTGACAATGAATTTGAAGGTTACTTGAAAATGTGGCAGCTTATAGGCTGGCAGAAGAGATTTGCTTCAGCAATGGAACATTTATTTGATGGGTCCTTCACTGATTGTCACAATGTTTCCAAGTATAATTCAGAATGCTGATTTGTACTGATCACATTGTCTAGAGCAGTGATGGCGAACCTTTTAGAGACTGAGTGCCCAAAAACCGCCTTGCCCCCACCCCCATTGCTCACTCCACCCCTGCCCCACCCCCACTCCACCTGCCGGGCCACCCACCATCTCCACGGCCCTGCAGCGCCATGGTGGCCACGCCCTCCACCCACGCCCTCCATCTGCGTGTGACGGGGCGCGAGGGCAGAGTCTTGTCCCTGCTGCCCAGCTGCCATGTGCTTGGCTGTACTGCTCTGCACCTGGGGGCGACTCTCCTCCGGGGGGGGCTGCTGATGAGGAGGGGGTCGCAGGGGGAGGCAGGGCTGGAGCAATGGTGCACGTGCCCACAGAGAGGGCTCTGAGTGCCACCTCTGGCACGTGTGCCATAGGTTCGCCACCACTGGTCTAGAGCTAATATCCAGGTGTACAGAATCCTCAATTCTCCCTAAAGAAAATCTGCAGGTTCTGTGTGGCTAGCAAGGAATAGTAGCTTACAAGCAGGCCTATGACAGTCACAGCTTACCTTCCACCATGCAACCCATCAAAGGCCTGAGACATCTTATGTTGTAGAGCTGTTTTACTCAGGGAGAGTTCACAGGGAAAGGGTCAAAAAGTCAAGAAGGTGGACACAAATGTGCAATTAATGCCACAATGCTGGGTGCAGCTTTGATCACCTGGTTATGGACACCCTCTTGATTTTTTTTCCTTACCCACCCACCCTTTCTGCAGACACTGCTGCATTGATTATGGTTTTGTTGTGCTGTTTTAAACCGTAGTTTTGTGATTTTACATTTTTATCTGACCTGCCCTGTGTTTGAGGGGGGGGGGAGAGGAAGGGAGGAAGAGAGAGAGAGAAATCTAATATATAATATTACTATAGAGAAGGGAAGGGATCTAATTATTAATTATAAATAACATTAATATATGGAATGAAAAGGAAACATTATACTACTATAGGTTTGACTCTTACTAGTCATTCTTTCTCATTCTACCCTAGATTTCAGGATTGTTGTGAGGACAAAATGGGATGATTGCCATGACCACAACTCAGCTTCCTGGAGAAAAGTTGGGCTGCAAATGTGATAAAAACCCTATACCCTATTTTCCTATTGGTTGAAAACCAATTCACACTGTGAATCAAGGAGCCACTGTGAATTGGATCCAGATTCATAGATGCTGTTATTATTATTATTATTACTTTAATTTATACCCCGCCCTTCTCCCGAAGGACTCAGGGCGGCTTACAGGCAAATAAAAACGAAACTATACAATAAATATCTAAAAACAATTAAAATATATATTAAATTAGCCTGTTATTTTTAGAAAAGTTATAAAATCCCTATTAAAATCCCTATACAATCCCCCCCC